CCCTCATTCTGTAATGGTGTATAAAGACTGCTTGCCATGCTGGATCGGGGCTCTTGTCCTGAAGCCACAGCCGGCTTCGTTCGTGAGCCCAGACTCGAGCCTGAATAAAGACCCTTGTGTGTTTGCATCAGAGCTGGCTCTTTGGTGGTCTCTCAGACTTTGAAATTTGGGTTTAACAATCTCTCTATTTTTCCTGCTACACACTCAGCCCTTGCCAGTCCTTTTGTTATCCCACTTGTTCTAGTATTTGAAGCAGCACTGCTTATTGCAGCTCCTGCAGAATGGCCATGCTGCAAGAAAGTTCTGTTAACACTGTTTTATTTCTCATGTACTGGATGTATTATTGCTTTATTATGCTTAAAATAAGTTTACCCTGGCTTATTCTAGCAAGCACCCCTTTGGGTTCAGCTTATCATACTACTTATACTTTTACTTTAAGTTCTTTTACTTCAGGACAAGTTTTGGCTGTCCAAAATTGGACCCCTGACTCAAACACAATCCAGTTTAAAGTAAAACTTCCAGATCTGGTAACTTGCATTTCAAACTAGTTTGTTAACTTTGTCAAGAAATGAATCAACTCAGTAGAACTTCTGCATACCAGAACCTATTATAATTCCCTTTAACTGAAGAGTCAATGAATTGACTCATGCACAACTAAAAGGGGGCAAATAAATGAGCTAAATTAGTTAATAAAATCAAATTACTAGCAAAATAATAATATTAACCAGCTTACTCCATTTTGTTTAAAACTTTAATTTTAGTTACCTGCCTGACCTAAGAATCAATGCCTATGTGTAATTACAGTAATGTTCCCATGACCACAGACACCCAGCTTTGTCTCCTTTGGGCAGGTTATGCTGACGGTTGCCTGCTAACCTTTATAGAACTCCTTTGCCATAAGTTCCATGTGATTATATGCTTTGTTAACTGAAATCAAATGTTATGCTTTGACATTTTCAGAGTTTGTTCTTATATTCTGTTAGTGACCTAACCAAGGTAACTCCATTGTATAATGATTCTTCTTCCTTGTCTCTATGTAACTACCTTAAACTATATCTTAATGGCAGAACTCCAGGGACTTTCTGGGTACTGGCTGTACCTAGGACATAAAATTAATCATAACTCCCTAACAATTGAAGTTCCTATTTTAGTTGCCAAGTTATTAGTTAATAGTTGCTATGATCACTAAGTTGCCATGTAGCCAATACTGCAAGTTTTACCTATAAAAGCTTGTCACAAATTGCACCAATTTGTCAAGAGTTTTTCTGGCATTTTCCTACTCTTGACCCATGAGTTAATAAAGGACTCTAATTAATTAAACTCAGTTTACAGGCGTGACTTCTTCTCACTTACTTGGTGATAACAAACACTCTTTCGAATTTTTCTGTAAGTCCAAAATTGTCCTACAAATTAAGATTATTGAAAATATTTGTTTATGCACACACTTCTATGTCTTTGTGTTTGTTTTTGAATTTCCAGTTTGGTCTCGTAAACTCAAACTTAGATTACCCTCAGAATGTTCTCTTAAAGACTTCATAATTGCTCAATATCATCAACCTTTTGACATCAGCCACAATGTCTACTTTATCAGCCAGTTTGCAACAAACATGTGACGCTCTTGGGAGAGATTAGAGCATTTTTAAACCTGTGCTATAGCATCTGGTTTGCCAGTAACTGCCACAATTGTTGGTGGTGACTGCGGTTGAAACCTTGACACCAGGACACAGAGCTCATCATCATGTCAGATGACTACTTGTGGTTTGAAGGGATACCTTTCCCTACTGTGAGTTTCACACCTGAACTCGGTAGAAAAGCCCGTGATGAATTCGTGATAAAGGATAAAGATGTAGTAACAGTGACTTACCCCAAATCAGGTAAGGAGACAGAATCATGAACTGAGAAAGGCCGGGGTCATGTTCTTCATTCACTCAGTAGATGATGAAAGTGCTTTCAATATGCCAGACAATGTACAGTGCTTTGTGGGGAATGGAGAAATTCCTAATACCATTTGCATTCCAAGACAGAGATTTAGTCTGGAAATTATGCAGTAAGTTGAATGTTCAGAGGGGATGGTCTAAGTTATTAGAAGAACCCGTAGGCGTGAATCCCAAGGTGATTCTGGTGTTTGCGGGTGTGTGGGGAGAGGATGGAAGAAGGTGGCCAGGGAAGTCCTAATGGAAACAGCCTCTCAATTGAAATGAAAAGAATGAATGTGAAATTACTTGGTGAGGAGGGATGTTTTCAGATAGAAGAGTCATCATGGACTATGGCCTGGAATTGGACAAGATTCTGACAAATTCAAGGTGTGGAGTTTCAGCCTCCACTGAGCAGGGCCAGAGGTGGGGGGAGGGAATGAGAAAAGAAAGACAAAGAACAGCAAAATTGGGAGGTCTCTCTCCTCAATAGGTGAGAGCAATTTTATTTCCACAGCATGTCCTTAATATAAGGCCAAACTACACTCTTAACAAGAAATGTCTTCATGTTCTAAGTATTTTTAGCATAACACCTGTGTTTACTGATACTGAATAATGTTATTGTTAAAATAGGCAACATCCAGACTGGGCAGACATGAGGTCACACTGTACTGCTTTTATCAAACCAACTCCCTAAGGGTAAGCAGAGAGAATTGAGTACCAGCCAGGCTTCCTTGAACACAGGCCAGGGACACAAGGACCTTGTCAAGCTTGTGTCTTTTAAGATATAAGGACTTTGTCAGCTTATGCCTCTGTCTCCTTCATCAAGGGACTGAATGATGTAGATAATATTTCTATAGGAGTGGGGCAGGGGAGGGGTGGTAAACACATTGCAAATTAGGAAAAAAGATTGAGGGCACAGACATTGAAAATGGTAGGGTCCTGAGAGGCCATGAACAATAGGAGCTTGTTAAGAAGGATTTCAACAAATAGCCAAAAGGTAGAAGCAGCCCAAATATCAGTAGACAGTTGAGTGGATAAGCACAATGTGAGATATAGATACAATGGAATGTCATTTATCCTTAGAAATGAAGAATATTCTGATTCATGCTCTAACATGGATGAACGCTGAGGATGTCAAGCTGAATAAAGGCCAGTCACAAAAACACAAACACTGTATAATTCCACTTGCATAAGTTACCTAGAATAGTCAGGTTCATAGAAACAGTAATACAAGGGTGTGGTTGCCAGGGGCTGGAGAGAAGGGTCAATCAGGAGTTGTTTATTGGGTATAGGACTTCAGTTCTGCAAGATAAAAATCTAAAGCTCTGTTGATCAACAATGATAATATACTTTAACACTACCAAACCGTATGCTTAAAAGTGGTTGAGATGGTACATTTTAGGGTGTGTATTTTATTATAATTTTAAAAAGTCACGTTGAAATGAATACCTATCCCCCTCCCCCCATTCTCTATCCAGGAACAAACTGTCTGATTGAGATCCTCTGTCTGATCCACTCCAAGGGGGATCCCAAGCGGATCCAGTCTGTGCCCATCTGGGAGCGCTCACCCTGGGTAGAGACCGAGGAAGGATATAAATCACTAAATAATAAGGAGGGTCCACGTCTCCTCACATCCCACCTCCCCATCCAACTCTTTCCCAAGTCTATCTTCCGTTCCAAGACCAAGGTCAGTGACATAAAGGTTCAGACACATTTTTTTTTTTTTTGAGTTGGAGTCTCACTCTGTCGCCCAGACTGGAGTGCAGTGGCTGCTCCCGGCCACTGCAGCCTCGACCTGCAGGACTCTGGCGTTCCTTCCGCCTCAGACTTCCAAGTAGCTGGAACTACAGGCATGCGTTACCACGCCCGGCTAATTTTTTTTGATTTACTGTAGAGATGAGGTCTTGCCAATTTGCCCAGGCGGGTCTCGAACCTCGGGCTCAGGCAATCCACTCACCTCAGCCTCCCCAAGGCGCGGGATTACAGGCTGAGCCACCGAGCCCGGCTTAGACACATTTGATCAATGCTTTTCAAACTTTCACATGCCTATAAGTCACCTGGAGATCTTGTTGGACTGCGGTGTCATTCAGTAGGTCTAACTAGGGTGGGACCTGAGATTCTGTATTAGGGGATGCCAGTGTGATTGCTCTGTGGACCATCCTTGAGTACAAGGGTGTAAACCATTCCACAGACTATCCTTGCCAGATTTCAACCAGGGATAAAGTGAAATAATAAGGCCAGAGTCTCAGTGGACCATGTTTTAAGTCCAATCAGAATTTATAACTGTAATAAAAACAAGAAAATCCTCTTTGTGTTGCTCTAAAAGATAATTAGCCAACTTAGTTCAATAAGAGCCTCCTGCCTATTAGGACAAACAGAGTTGTTCACACAGGAAACAGCACAATCTTAAATCAATGTCTAAATCCTAGGTGATTGCTCTGGTGTCTTGGCTGAAGTTGTCGACATATGATTTCTTACTATATGTGACTATCTATTGAGATCCACAGCCACACAAATCTCCCATGTGACTGACAGATGATCACCACCAAGGACAGTGGGTATCCAAAATCTAGCATATCTCAACCATTTTTGGAAACATACTTTCCTGGAAGGCGTTTATTGTTTTGTGAATTTTAAAAATGTTTTAATTTAAATTGAGTTGAGAAAAGTAGGGTAATATTCTCTTTTAGAAGTTTTACAGTGTATAGAAGCACCACACCTTTGTTATGTATGCATTTATGGGTCTTATTGGTATTTGGGAAATTGAGGCCTAGAGAGAGACAAGACCCAGTATATGTCACGAAGAAAGTTGGGACAGAATGCAAAGTAAAATTCAGATGTATGTGTGAGTGAGTGTGTGTGTGGGTGTGTGTGTGTGTGCATGTGTGCAGGCAGTAATCTTAAGTATTAACTTGGTAAATATTTACATATATACACTCTTGGTGACCATCATTAAATTCACATTTAGAACATTTCCCTTCCCTCAATGCATTTCCCCATCAATACCCACTCACAGAGGTAAACACTTCTCTGACTATAAGTATAGAATACTTTGGCTTGTTCTTGAACTTCATAGACACAGATGGATACTGTATGGGTTATTAGGTGGCTGGCTTTTATCACTCAATGTAATGTTTGTGAGGTTTAGCTATAGCCCTGGGTGCAATACCGATACATATTGCTATATATCTATGAGTGTAGCATAATTTATCAATCCATTCTCCTGTTAGTGATCTTTACTAGAGTATCTAAATATAATACCACTCACTTAAAAATTTTTTTAAAGTTATTTTTTAGTTGGAGTCTCACTCTGTCGCCCAGGCTAGAGTGCAGAGGCACACTCATGGCTACCACAGCCTCGACCGGCTGTACCCAAGCAAATCTACTGCCTCAGCCTTCCAATAGCTGGAACTATAGGCACGCACTACCACATCTGACTAATTTTTTCCTTTTGATGTATTGTAGAGATGAGGTCTCTCCAAGTTGCCCAGGGTGGTCTCGAAACACTGGGCTCAGGCAATCCTCTCACCTTGGCCTCCCAAAGTGCTGGGATAACAGGCTTGAGCCACCCAACCTGACCCACTCACCTCTAAAACCTTTCAGTTGCTTCCCAGTGTGAGTAGAATATAATATCCCAGAGAAAAGGGACAATGCTTTCCCCCTCCATTGTTTTATTTTAGACTACTTCATGGGAACTTTAAATTTTATATTTGACGAATACATGCAGTAAATAATTTATTTTAAAAATTCATTGATTTTGCCAGGCTCGGTGGCTCAGCCTGTAATCCCGCACCTTTGGGAAGCTGAGGTGAGTGGACTGCCCGAGCCCACGGGTTCGAGACCCGCCTGGGCAGCGAGACCTCATCTCTATAGTAAATCAAAAAATCAACCGGGCGTGGTAGCGCATGCCTGTAATTCCGGCTACTTGGAAGGGGTAGTGCATGCCTGTAATTCCGGCTACTTGGAAGGCTGAGGTG